GAAGCGGTTGTCGAAGAAGGAGTTCGACAAAGCGCCTCATTTGCCGCCCGAAGCGTTCAAAGCCGACAACTGGAACGGCGCCGCCGCCGACGTCTGGGCCTTCGGTCTCCTCATGTGTCAGGTGTTGGCCAAAGACCCGCCGTATAAGCTGTCGGCCAACAAATCGGCTGAAGACCAGTGGAAGGCTTTCTCTGAGGGCAAAGCCTTCTCGGATGAGGCGAAGCAACTCTTGGACCGCATCTTCGTTGAGGACCTCCAGACCCGGCCATCCATTTCTGATGTACTCAATGACACGTACTTCAAGAATGTTGCCTAAAATAGTCGCCACAAATGGACAAAAAACAAAGACAATTAGTCCATAAATTTGTTATTTTTACCCAAATTTCTTGTCTTATTTCTCAACAAAATTGATATGATTTCTAAAAATAAACTCATTTAACTCTTGCACAGCAATTGCTTGTCTCACTTTGAAACTCATTTAACAAATGCATTACCAGTTTTGTATTCATTTATTTAAAATCATTTTAATTCTACTTATTTTAACAAATTATAATTGCATTACAATAGTTAACAATAGTTAATACGGCTATATATACCGGAATAACAGTAATAATGATTATATTTCTCTAAACTATCGCTAAAACCAATAGAATTTAAGAGAAAACAATTGATTTGCAATTTAAGAAAAGGACTAATTTATGGGAATTGATTGACGGCATCGTTGATAGCTTTGGCCACATATTCAACATTATTGGTATTGATTCCACTCAAACTGATGCGTCCATCCTTTGGGAGATAGATGTGATAGTTTTCAACCAAATGCTTGATTTGTTGTCCATTGAGACCCGTATATGAGAACATTCCTATTTGTTCCGTAATGTGACTCCACTTCCCAGGAGTTCCCAACTTTTCGATGTTATCGCGCAATGTTTTCCTCATGTCTTGGATTCGACCCGACATTAATTTAATGCAATTTTTCCTTTAAATCAATTGTCAATTAATATATAAAAAGCAATCGTTTTATTACTAATTCATACCATTCCTGATTGAGTTGAGGATCATTGAGAACTTTGCCTACAATGCGGGCGCCATGAACTGGAGGGTTGCTATACATGATAATGATCATAATGATCATGTTCATTAGACCATCAAATTTATATAAATTGTATACTTTTTAATACCTGTAGTTTCCTCTAACCAATAGAGTTATCTGTGATTTAACGTTCACTATTGGCGAAGCATTTTTTAATACAACTGTTAGATTACCGATGCGTTCATCTATTGATTACAATTAATTGCTTATTAATTCACATGAAATTCAAATAAAATATTGTATGACATCAAAGAATACAAAGATATCATTGGTTTAAAACAATTTGCAAAACAATACATACTATAGAGTCCAAAGTTCTTAGCGAAAGACTGGGCACACAGTGTCTCAAATCCTCTGTCGACAAAAGTCCTGAAACTTTGGGCATCTCTGTCCAGATCTCCAGAAGCGAATCCCTGATACGCGCAGTCGAAGAATGGAAACAATTTTCTTTCTTCCATCACATCTGCG